TCTTATACACCGAAAAATACAGTAAGTTGGCTAAATCCTTCACAAGACAAGTTATACAGCTATTTAAAATATTGTAAAGTAAAGTAAGGTACTTAGATTTTATACATTTCAAACAGTTCATTGAAACACAGAATAATAAGATTTTGATACAGGTTAGAAAAAAAAAGAATTGGTTAAGCTAAACAGTTTAAGATGACAGTTAAGTCATAATTCTTTTTTAGAAAAACCTGATAATGTAATATTTAATTTTTCTAAGTATGTTTTGTATAATGTAGTGAAAAAAAGTTTTAGTTTGCAAAATAAAATTAGTATTCTTAATAAGCTTAAGTTTGAAAATTATTGTACTCATTTCGAACCGTATACCATTTGGAGTATGTCTGGTAAATGTTTTAGTAACATTAGAAGTGGTATAGATTTGACTGGTTTTAACAGTTATTATAATGAATCTAAGTGTAGAAGATCTTAAAACTAAAGAATTTAAGTAAAAATGATAGTAGTATTATTATTTCTAAACCAGAGAAAGGTAATGGTGTTGTAATTTTAGATGAAGATGATTATATACGTAAAACAGAAGAAACAGTGATGGTATCATATTTGTGAAATTTCATCAAGATTTTACTGATGAAAGGGAAGCTAAGTTGCAAAAGTTTTTATTGAAATTAAAGAAAACAGTATTAATGAAAAATAGTACTTGAATATTAGACCATAATGAAGTCATCCCAGTATATTTTAGGATTTACCAAAAATTCATAAAGATGGATGTCCTTCATGATCAATAGTATTGAACATTGGAATTTACAGCCATGCTTTGGCTGGTTTTTTTAGTTGATTTTATGAAAATATATACCACAAATGGATACACATTGAAAAACAGTTTTGAGTTTCTCATGAAATTCGAACAATTGAAATTTAATAGGAATGTGCACTGTGCCAGTTTTTATATCCAATCATTATATAAAGATACTGGTATACTGTGAGAAGAAACAATAAAGTGCTGAGTTGGTTTATAATGACAACTCCAATGAAATGTTCATCCCAAAATCTGTCTTTTTGAAACTTCTGAACTTTACTACTAATGAATCTCATTTTCTCTTGAATGGAAAGTTCTATAATCAGGTTAATAGTGCCACTATGGGCTCTAGAAGTGTCGCTAGGTGCCTAAAAGATTCAGGGATCAGGCCCATAGGCATGGCAGTTTTCACTATTTCAGTATGATTATTGATTATGGTTTCCTATTCTGATTTTTCAAGACACCAACTGGGGATTTTGGGCACTGTGAAATAGAATTGGGGCAGGCTTCATGTGCCAGAACCTAGTGACACCTCTGATGGGCTCAACATTTGTACCATCTCTAGCAAACTTATTTTTATGTTTTCAGGAAAACAATGGTTGGAAAATTTTCTACAACAGTTTAAACCTGTTTATTATCATAGATATGTTGGCAATACTTTCACCATCTTTAGGGGCCATGACCAAAGTCTCTTTCTT